AAGAACCACAGGCTGCTATAGAGCCTGTAAACACGAGCAGTGAATTTTACAGGATGTTTCTGAGAACTTTGAATTCAGCGGACATTGGGCAATGAGGCAGAACAGATAACAGCCCTAGAGGAAAAGCATGCTGCCTTAGTCTTGGAGATAGAGCAGTGGAAAAGGACTGAGTAATACTCAAAGAGATGAGGCAGAAAAAGCAAAGGTATTTCTTTAAGTAGAAGTTTATAAGAAAGGGAAAGTTGCACACAAATGTTTCCCAAAAATTGGATGAACTAAAAACAGCTCTCAGCATTTAAAGAGAAAAGAAAAAGAATACCGAGAACTTCTTAGCGCTAAGACAAAACTACCAAAGTCCAGGCAGAACTGCCCCAATGTTATGGAAAAATTCTAGTTTATCCTCACGTGTAGAGTTAGGTGGTTAGAACTTCACTGTATGATTCTGTATAACCTTTGTATGCTCAGATGAAGTATGTGTATATGTCAGCGTGACCTTGTGAAAACTGCTTAGCTTTGCTTAACGATGTTTCACTATGTTATCTGCTAACTGTTTTGCTCAGAAGGATGAAACTCCAGTGCCAGGAGCTTCCCCTGAAAAGATAGTGGGAGTTGTCCTCTGTCCAGCCACAGCGTGGGACAGAAAGCTGTTGTAACTAAAAGACAAACAGAGTTGTGTGCGGGGGGTATAAAAGAGGAGCTGAGACATCCCAGGGGCAGAGCTGGCATGACTGTGAACTGTGAAGTTTGATGTGTGTTGGCTCTCCTGTAATAAATAGCTTGATCACAGCTCTTTCCATGTTGCAGACTTTAGTTAAAAATTCTACAACACCCAACACCAAAGAAACCTTCAAGAACAAAGATCCCTGTGGGAGAAGGACAGGCTCATAGCTGTGCACTGATCAGGACGAGAGCGGCATCTGTAGGAACCTTGAAGCAGAAAGTGACTGACTGACTCATGATTTGATGAACAGAGTAATGAAATCTCAGTAATCAAAAAAATAATAATCAGGAAGAAATTCTGCTGGATTTTTAAATGATTGCCTTAACTTGACCTCCACCTCAACAATGAAACTTGTTTATGTTAAGTCAAATTGTAGAGAACTGCTTTCACATTAAGTTATCATAAAATCTTAAAACAACTCATAAAAGTAAACATTGCTATATCAATAAGCCAACTGTTATCATGCAGATGCATTGTTAAGATATGGTTGTTAAGCTGAATGAGTAAAATAACCTGCAGCAGCTGGTTCTTTGAGCTGCATGACTGCTGCTTGTCCACAGGGTGGCACAATCTCCTAACCTAAACACAAATGTTACCCGTACAGGAAAGCTTTAGTCCAGCGCCTCAAGCCCACCTTTAAATATCATTGCCTATTGGAACAATGCAAACACGGAGAAGGACTGAAAATATGGAATTGGTTGAATGCTACTATGCCAGCTGACACACAAAAAAAGGTTATGTGCAGCACATGTGGGATCAGTAGAAAACCAACATCCACAATGAGCTACAAGGACCTGGCAGCGTAGTGCAATAACATCAGCAGAAGATGGTTACTGTTGAAGCTAGAGGTCCAGAGGTTACAGCACACTGGGAACAATGGTGAGCAGTATGGACATAATGATGGAAGAGACCAAAGGTGGCTGACAGGACCAAAGTTGCAGGAGGTCCAAAGGTGCCCTCTAGACAATTGGACAGTGTACACCAGGGGTGGGCAACTCCAGGTTTTAGATGTGTCCTTGATCCAACACAGCTGATTTAAATGGCTAAATTACCTCCTCAACACGTCTTCAAGTTCTCCAGAGGCCTGGTAATGAGCTAATCATTTGATTCAGGTGTGTTGATGCAGGTGAGATCTATAACCTTCAGGACACTGACCCTTGAGGCCTGAAGTTGCCCACCTCTGGCGTACACAGACAGGCACAAACAAGTGACTGGGACAGAACATCTGTGCTGCATATGTACCGTTAGGAGACACCACCATTGTTGGTTGAGAAGAACTGGGCTAAGGTACTGTAGGACCCTCTGGGAGTTTGAAGGTTCTGCACAGCATCTGAGGTATATGTAAGACTGCACTCTTCTGAATACCTCTGATATGGTGCCTGAAATCTGCTGGAGCTGCCCTCCCAGTTTTGGGGTTACAACTCCTAATGCTCCGATTACCACTGGGACCACTTTGTACTTTACCTTCCTTCTACTCCAGATGTTCCTTCAGTCCACAACGTTGTTGTCAAGCTTGTGCTGGATAGTGTATTGACGACATTAACAACTTTGGAAAAGTAGTGTCAGCGTTTAAATCTAAGTCAGACATACATCAGCTGCTGCCCAAGGAACCGTTCATTAATTTAAAAAAATATAATGATAGGTCTATCTTTCTTAAAAATGGCGAGAACAGTAGCCACAATGATCAATAATCATTAGAAATATATGTATCTTTGGCAAATCTAAGAAACCTATAGATGCTTGTCATGGTTGTTTGGGCATCCTCTGTCAGCATGTTTCAGTCTCGATGTCTTGCAACTCAGTCCTTCCTGGTAAAAGGGCTAAAGTTGCACTCTGCAAAGCTCTACTGTCTAGATCCTTATTACCTTAAATATAAAAGAAATCAATATACTGCAGCTTTAGATGCAAAAATTAGATTCAGTTCAATTCAGTTCAGATAAGAAATAAGTGGCTGAGATATTACACCTTAGAATAAACCCAATTTAGCATTGTATGTCTTTAAGGGTGTCCTATTATGCTCATTTCTGACTGCTCTGCTAAAGTAACTCTGCATGATTAACAGATCTTATTTTAGAGCACGATGTATCTTAAAATAAGCTTTTTGCCTCCTTCCTTTAAGCCAGCGGATCTCTAATTTTGGTGTGTGGAGAAACTTACAGGTGGAACATGGACACGGGTCCATGAGATGAAGCTAAGCTGAATGAATATGAGTTTTATTTTCAAGAAATAATTTTTCTCAGACAAAAAGTTTGAGAACCACAAGAGAAAAAGAAAAAGATGTCTAGTGCTTAGAGCAGTCTGAAGCCTGGGATCTGGCTCTGGGATTACTTATTCATCAGTCCTCTGGAACTCATTGCACTCTGTAAAGTCCCCCTAGCCATATTTTTGTCATCCCATATCAGTGTGTGTCAGGCTTGAAAAACACTTAGTCAATTGAATTTTTAGTAAAGATGTCCATTCCTGATACTTGCACAGAAAATGTGACTGTAGAAATAAAAATATTTGCTGTATTATTGTTCACAGACACACAGCAAAGGCAGAGATGAGATCATTTCCACATAAAGAGTGGGAAAATGTATGCTTACAGGACTCTCAACAACGTCCTTATTTAAGACTCTTATCTTGATTTGAACACATCAAATGCTGAAACAACACCATTAATGAGCTCCCCAGAGCTGCTACAACTGATACAGTTTTATCTCTCTTATTGTCTTTCTTTCACTCACACATATCTCTGAGGTCATGCCTTTCCCTAAGCCTCCCATCAGAACCAAATCAGAACCACACAGGTAAATATTTATCCAATCTTCTATTAAATATTGTTTATAACCCCTGACCTCCATCGTACAGCCTTGAAATTATCTACACAACAAACTTTGCAAGAACCTAAGGGATCTCGGAGAGCACCTTTAGTTTTGATGAGCACATAAATTCTGTTTTTAACCGTTTCTTTCAACATAAGATTGTTGCTACCTTTGCTCCCAATTATTTTAAAAAATTAATTAAGTTTGTAATTTTTTTAAAGAATATTTTAATGGCACATTTTGACGCTGCTATTTTACTGTTTTGACACATTCGCCCTGCACCATGCATATGGAACGCCAGGACTGCCATAATGAATTAATTAAATACACCATTAAATAATTAATTAAATGTGGCAATAATTAATTAAAATTTGAAATAATTAATTACATAAATATTTACGACACATGTAATTGATTAATTATTGACACATTTAATTAATTAATGACACATTTAATTAATTATTGCCACATTTAAATAATTATTTAATGGTGTATTTAATTAATTCATTATGGCAGTCCTGGCGTTCCGTACATGCACTCTTTGCGTTGGTTGGCTGTCCATCACAAACAGAAGGTTTCAATAGCAGGTGGGTGGGGCTTCTGAGTTCAGAGCTGGTGCTGGATCCCTGGGATCGTCATGTTAGTGATAACTGCTCTCTCTAACATGATACAAAGCGTAAGCTAGAAAAAAAAGAGCATCTAAAGACTGAAGCCTGAAGTTTTTCCTCATGAGGATTACTTATACACATGTTCCCCTCAAACCACCACTGCTGAAAAAATGAAAAAGTACTCACAGTTCAAACGAAATTGAAATGTTCTGGGTTTTAGCTGGCAGGAGTGGCACCTCTTCTGCTGTTGTAGCCCATCTGCTTCAAGGTTCAACGTGTTGTGCGTTCAGAGATGCTCTTCTGCATGCTTCGATTGTAATGAGTGGTTATGATGGTCATGTTGTTGTATTAGCTCGCCTGATATTTTCCTTCTTTTGAATCTTTCTCTGTAAACCCTAGAGATGGTTGTGTGGGAAAATCCCAGTAGAACACCAGTTCTGGAATACTCAGACCTGCCACCAACATCTCGGTTTGAACTTCAGCAAGTCTTCTCAACAAGGCACTGAGTTTGCTGCCATGTGATTGGCTGATTGGATATTTGTAAAAAGGAGCACGTGTATCAGGTGAGTGTATATATGACATGAAGGGAAAACATTGTTTCAATCAAGGCTGTTGAGAAGTTTTATGTAGAACATTTTCATTTAATATGAAGGATTTTATTTATAGGCAAAAATTAAGTCCCTGTTGTCCCCCTTTCACAGTGCAAGGACATTTCCTGAATCAGGATTATAAATGTGATGGTTTAGCACGACTATGGCGCTCTCCAGTAGGAGGAATGTAGGTAAACTACATTTCCCAGGATGCACTGGTCGGAAACGTCGAGCTGTCACGGCCGAGAGAGAGGGAGAGAGAGAAATTGGTCCAGCATCTCCGGAGCGGCGGAGCGGAGCGGATACAGAGACGCGCAGTCCTCATCAGCAAAATGAGGAGGAATTAACGCGCCGACTGTCTCCCGTGTGTTTCCCACCGCGATGCACGCCGTGGATGTTTAAAGCCTCCTCGCCTGCTGTAGACCAGCGCGGACATCTGACTTTATCCCATCAATGAGATATGTGGAGTGGCTCTACCGCTCGGTGGTAACGCAGAAAAACACAAGATGAAGAAGCAGTTCAACCGAATGAGACAGCTCGCCAACCAAACAGTGGGCAGGTAAGCGTGAAACGGCGCGTTAGATTGGCCACACCGAGCTGCATGCGTCCCGCTTTAATTGGCTCTGGGTCAAGCGGCCAAAGCAGGAATTCGTCGGTTGTGTGTATGTGTACAGTATTCAGTCATTCACGCGTCGGGCTTTTGCTGCTCAGCTGGTTTGATTTGCACAAAGCATTAACTGTCAGTGTCAGTGTAGGTCACAGTTGCAGCTTGAACGGGGTGTGATTGATTGAGCTCAGCAGGAAGGAGCGTACCCGCACGCAGACGAGCAGGGAACTGACATGGTACCCAAGAAGCTGGGCTACTGCCCACTGACCAATGAAATCAAAGCAGAGGGCAGCTTCAAGGCATCCTGCTGCTGGAGGGGAGTCAACACACAGCCTCTATGAAGATGCTCAAGGCGCCTTTTAATCAAATTAGCGTGGCATAGCGGGTGATCTGTGGGATGTTAACTGGTGAAATATGTTTTTTTTGAATATTTGACGAGGCATTCAAAGACATATCTTAAAACCCTGCTGTAACCGGGTCCAAGGCCCTGCTTAGGGCGTAGTAATATTATATAAAAGTGCAGGAAGTTTTGGGGTGGGGTTTGCAGTGATGTTAATCGTTTGAGTATTTTATCCCAACATTTTACAGTTATATTTTTAAAACTGCAGCTGTGTAGGAAGAATTCGAGATGGGAATTCCCAGTGAGTCATTCGGACTACACAATATTATCACAATGGCAACCAGTGCTGCCTCACAAAATCTCACCAAGTTGCTCTACCTACCCACACAGCCCATTTGCCCCAGTGGTGCAATAGCTGAACCAACAGATAATTTGATCAGATGTTTATCTCTGGTGCCTGGATTGGTCTTTATTGGTCAGACAAGGCAAGAATTCACCTTACATTTTCTTCAGTCTTGCATTATGTTGTTTTGTCTTGCAGTATCCTGAAATAGAGTTCATCATCTGTGTTTGCACGAGTTAAGAAAGATTTGGCATCTTGAAAAGTTCCCGAATACAATATAATGGTCCCAAAACAGCTGATAAAACAAAAACAGGTCATTTAGCTTACCATAAAGATTGGAAACAGAACCCGAGGGATTGTAGTCACTGTCACCCTAACCATAGTTGATTTAACTGTTTTACATAGTTTGGTCTAATGAAACATATCGATGCTAATAAAAATAAAAAAGAGGACCGAATATTGAGCCCTGAGGAACTCCAATACTAATACAACTCAGTAACTAAGTTAATACATGATTATAGAACCTTATTGGAATTTTTTTGGCTAATTATTGCTTTTAAATTGCATATTTCAGTTAAGAACGTGAGAAATCATTAGAAATTGGGAAAATTTCTTGCTGTTTCGTCTTTGATTAATATCTCAAACAACATTTGAGTCTTTCAGAGTTCAAGTGTTTGCTCCATTTCTATTTTTTTGTCCTTGTTGAGGTGGGGCAGGTTGGCCTTTTTGTGCAAAAGCTTATAACATGTAACTCCACCCTTTTCACCTATATATCCAATTCATGGTGAAATCCCAGGGTAGGTCCTTATTGTCTAAATTACTTTTCAGTGTTGAGTGTCAAGCTTCAGGAAGAGCTGTTTTTTAATCCTGGAAGTGCCTCACCATTCAAACACAGTGGAAGAATGCAGAAGTGATTAATCCTTAGTAAATCCCGACTGCACAAATTTGCATCAGATAGTATGCAAATGTGAAAATACCTAGGATTAATGTGTTTAGTTTATGTGATGTATTTGTTATCAGTGCATCTGTTTTCTTCCTGCCAGGCCCGATGCTGCAGATAACTCTGGAGTTTGTTAATCTCTCAGTCAAGATTGAGTCTTGCTGAAAGTATATAGCTCATTTTAGCTTTCATTGTTTGAAAACATGCTCAATATGCTTCCTCAATCAAGTGTAAAGTGCTATTTGATCCATGTAGGAGGACACGGGTGTCGTAGCCTCTTTAAGCCTTCGGGCCAAGCCTAGAGAAGAAGGAATCATATTTAAATTCCAGTTAAGATAGGTGTAGCTAAAGCTTTTCTCTAAATAGGTGTTGTGAAGACTTTGTCTCTGCTTCTGTTTTCCCACCACACCCATAGCTGAACTAAAAATAATTGTCATATGTCAATACTGCACCCTTGGCAGTTTGTCTTGTGCTCTGACGTGTTGTTTAACCCATTAAAATTATTACATAACCTTACAACAGAAACACTGTCGTATATGCAAACAGGACCTGTCTAATAAGGACATGGGGTGATTTGTAGCCTGTCGTTAACTGCAGCTCCACCAGGTTTATTATAAAGCATTATGGTATGCACTGCTGAGGTGATGTAAGTACTGTAAAACCTGTTTGTTTTGCTTGGCTGACAGCACTAACTGACAGTGCTGGCACGCAGACAAGGTTTCATTGTATGCAAAACTTTTACTGTACAGTACTTCAGATTATATAGTAATACATTTGTCTCATCATCCTAAATTTCTTCTTTAGCAGTGCAGATTACCAAAATATACAGTCCCCCAGCAGATGAGTTTTTCCCCACAGAAATCAGATCTGAATATTACAGGGTTACGTGAAGAGACCGTCTAAAACCAAGTCCAAAATTAACCAAAAACCAAAGCCAAAACAGGTCCAAACCAGCCACCAATGATGACCGAGATTAACCTCAAAAACAAATTTAAAGCAAGTCCAAAGTTCAAAATCAGTCTTCAACCCAGCTCCTTATCCAGTCCAAAACCAGTAGAGCCTGAAAATTGTCTAAAACCAGAATCCTCAGCTTAGCATCATGCAGTGAGTCTGAGGTTCCCTAAAGTGACAGAAGACACCAGAGATCTGAAACCTGCCCCAAAACTTAAATCCCTATAAACTTGCAAAAAGTTCCCCTAGATGCTGGGACCAAGTGCTACGTGCCTTGAAAAACTGCACTAAGCTGCACCGGTTTAAGGCAAATTGTTATGAGCATCCTCAATTTACTTTTGGAGGCTAAACCTTTTTTATGCAGCATCTTACTCGGCTACACGCAGAGTGCAGGCAGAGGCGCTGATACAAATCAATGAAAAAGGTATTACTGCAGCTAATGCCAAGCAAAGTGAGCTTGGTAGAGGTATCAGAAATCCCCGAAGGATATTTTCCCATTACGAAAAAATTACGGGAATTATGCCCTACTTGGGCCTGAGGGGACAAAAGCTTTAATGCACTTCACCAAATAAAACCAAACAATTATTGGTAAGTATACAGACACAAAAAGGCCTGTGTGGTAGGTTAGATGCTTGTTTATTTCCCCTTCTTCTTCTTCTCTAGAGCCCAGTGAGGCGGAACATCCTGGTAATGAGTTCTAACCTGTATCATAAGAAGCAGAACAGCAGGGGCAATTAGTCATATTTAGAGGGTAGAGACTCAACACGCTGCCCGACGGCTGGCCACACAGGTAATTGCTGAGATCTTCTCCTTGACCTTGGCAGCCTGCATCACCCGGTTTGTGTTGACGGCTGCAGACATCAGCTGCTGCTGACCTCAGTGACCATAAACTACACGGACAATTTGGCCGCTTCATAATTATCATTTCACAATTAGTGCTTCTAAAATCCCCTAAACGTGCACTAATGTTGACAAGTCATTTTTTACATTCTTCAGCTATGAAATTGCAGATTTGAGGCCATCTTTTTTCAAGCACATGCTGCTTGAGGGTCTAAAAAACATCTTGTTAGCATTCATAACCAGGTATGAGCTTCCGAAACTACCTAAGAGAAAGTAAAAAGACAGTTAGGAAGGGAAAGTATGACCAATACTGTTTTCCAGATCCTTTAATATTCAGTTTAACTCCATTTGAAACAATTCAGTATTCAATAATCAATATACAACAGCAGTTACGCTGGTTTTACAAGTT